AACAATTAGTTTTTTTCCCACACACATACACCCGCACACATTAAAACCCTATACATAAGGAACAAAAAACCAAAAACATGTTAGCTTACATAACTTAGAATGAGAAAACGTTTGATGCATTTCTACATTTCTAACTACAACACACAACATGTAGCTCTGTTTCATCTGAAACTGATGTTTAAACATCGGTTATTGTTGCTTAATTGTGAAGGTGGTTTCAACAAAAACACAACCACGGTGTGTTGTGGCGTGTGGAGATGACACATGATTCCAATATGGCAGGAAAACAAGGAGGAATTGATTGTTTTGGGGGCCAAGACAAGATGTGCATCCCTATACTCGGTGAATGGGATGCTGACTTAAGGCATGAATGTTAACTTCCTGAACTGATCACCCACGTCAAACATTTTCTAAACCTATTCAACCTACGCATCATCCATTACACATCTAAAACAGTCAGTCTCATGTTGCATCACAAACATTTGATTCAAGACTTTACTCTGCTCTGAACACCTGAGACTATGGCTAAACGCCTAGCTAACTAATAGAGAACAATATATTCAGTATTAGTTTGTACCCGCTAGCATAACTGCAGCAGTCTGTCATCACCTGGTTTCCTACACATGAATATTAATTTCTTGTTTATCCTCCAGGACCAAATTATTTGTTTCGATTGAGGCAACGTGAAAGGTTTCTTATGAAGTAGAATTACCACTGTTGAATATGTATTGTAAGCATATATTGTATATGAAAAAAGCATCTAGCTCCAAGTGAGCGTTTAGCCCACAAGAAATTATTACGGTGAGACTGTTGAACTGTTGGACCTGGGATTTAACTGTCAGTTACAGAGATGTTAGTGGATCCAGTTTTTCAGGATTGCAGCACTTCATGCACAAAATCTTTTTTTTGCTTATTCAACAGTCCCTGGGATGGAAACTTTACCTACTGAAAACACAACAGAGGGAGCCTTGTAAGAAACCAGCATTATAAGTTGTAGTTAATTCATGTGAAGGAAACCAGCCGAATTAATCCATACTCAATCATACACAAACACCTGCACAATCCACTCGGATAAAACATTATCAATAACAACAAAACACCTCACTTGGTACAAAGTATGAAAATAACATTCATATAAATAATTTAAATAGCTATACTAAAGCTGAAGTCTTGTCTAAAATGTCTAAATGGCCAAAGAGAAGTGCTAATAATGTGCTGTATAATTTGGGGGACTTCAAGATTTTGTAATTTTAGGGATCACAGGCAATTGCTATGCAAATTATTTTCGTTCACCCCACAATTAAAACATTAACATTAAC